TTCACAGGATTGTTCTCTCATGATATGACAAGGTATCTGAATGTTCTGAATTTCAAATTGAAAGAGAAAACAAAGACAGAGCTGCTTGACTGGAAAAAAGCAGCTAATCAGCTCCATCTGGACGTGTGGACATGGCAGATAATAGCTGGTGACCTCATTCTTTATCTTTGTGACCTTCGAAGAGTTATACGCTTTGAAGACAATAAAGCTGTCTTAAGTTCCTAAAGCTGACTGGGATATAAGTTCATTCAACATATTTCAGTTATTGTTTTTTAAAGGCCTCACCTAGAAATCTTTCCATTTGGTGTGGAATGAATTTTTTGGTCTAGGAGGCTCCAAAAGAGAAGCAGTTTAGACCCTAATCTTGCTAGGGTCTTGGTGCAATTATATCCTCCGGAACATTTAAACAGGAGCCAGTACATTAGAATACAGTGCGTATAGACAAATGTGGGAGTTAGGAAAGAATACACCCACAAATGATGTTGCATGCCCAATAATGGTGACAGTGAGTCAATGATAGCTGCTCCCTTCTGAATCCCAGGCCTGCATGAGCTGGGTCCCTGTATTGGTTAGCTACCGCTGTATAACAAACCACCACCCAACTCAGTGGCTTTAAATTGTAAGCATGTTAGTAATCTCTGAGTCAGTTGGGGATGTCTTCTGGTCTTGGAGGATTCACTCGTGTGTCTGTGGTCAGAGTGAGTTGAGTCAGCAGCGCTGCTAGGCTCGGCAGGGTCTCTCACGTACTTGGGGGTCAGTTGGCTTTGAGCTGGTCCAAGATGTACGTTTCATGACCAAATCGAGTCACACAATTAGCCAAGATTCAAGGGATGGGGATAAAGACTCCAGTTGTTGATGGAAGGAGCTGCAAGATCATACTTCAAAGGGTATGGCTATTTGGAGAGGGAAGAACTGTGACCATTTTCGCAGTCCATCTATTGCCATTTCTAACCTGCTTGTCCATCCTGGGGAAGCCTGGGGCTGCAGAAGGAATAGGCGTCAGGAGGGTTTTCACAGGGATGGGTCAGCCCAGGCTCCAGTCTCTGGTCTTCTTACACTGTCTTTTCCTCACTGCTGTCATCAGAAGTGAGGGCGCCTTTTTGGTTTATCACTTTTGACTTTCCCCATGACAGCATGCTTCTTATCAAACAACTAAAGCCGATGAATAGAGAGTTGGTTCTTTTTATCTTAAAACAACACCACAGTCCTGATCGGATTTGCTGATCAGGAAACCCAATCTCCACAGTCATCATTCGCCCTTGATAACTCATGCAAATCACCTCATTATTTCAAGGTGTGGTTAACACAAACAATACTTTTAAAGAAATCCCATACCCACCTCCACCTGCACTTTGTACAAAGTTAGCAGAGTCAGCTGATTTAGAATTGTTATTTTATTACTGCGGAACCACACGCTTCTAGTAGCTGCCCAGCTCACAACTTCAGCTCCAACTTTGGGTGCACAGGGGTGGGTCTGTCCCATAGGACCCATTTCCCATTGCTAATGAAGTTAGGGACAGTTTCTGACCTAACCAGGCCAATCTCCTGGTAATTAAGAATGCTCAGCTGAGCTACACAAAGCCAGGGGGGCCCTACAGCAGAGGGGATCTGGGGACGATGAGGGTCTTCAGGATGGCCTTACTTCTTGGGCTTTTGTGGGTCTATGGTTCAACCATTTCATGAATTCCATGAGATGTCCCAATATTCTTTTAATAAATTTCTCCTTTAAAAAAAAAATTAGCTAACCCAAATTAATTTCTGTTGCTTACAACCAAAAGAACTATAATATCTCTATAAAAAGTTCCCTGTTTAAATATTCATGGTCTCTATTTCACTGTTGTTTTGGGAGTGGCGGGGCGGGGCGAAGAGCCAACACTCACAGACATTTTGTCCCTTAAATTTTAGTTTAAGAATTTTTCCCACAGGTTACACCATCCATGTAGAAAGTGACAAATGTGTAAGAATATTTATCAAGGCGTTGTTTTCAATGGTAAAATATTGGAAACAACTAAATGTTCATCAACACATCAGCTCTGATCACCTTTAGGTGGTTTTAGCCATTGAACCCCAGAGACAGGGACCTTTCCTTTGGGGTAGACATGAGGTCCACAGATGAACTTGGCAGAAGGTGAAGTGAAAGGGGAAAAGGTATAGGAGCCTTACTCTCGTGCGAACTGTGACAGATCGTGTGATGACGGTTTCTCCTAAATCTAATGAGGTTCGGATTCTTCCTGCTTCTCTGAAGAATGGCATCTCTCTTTCTCTTTCTTGAAACTGCGCCCTCTTACCTTTCCCAGCCCTGAAACTCACTGAGAATAAGGGTTAAATGCCCACGAACTCTATTCATGTGCATGTTCATCATTTTATTAATTTTATTAATTTATAACTACTTCACTGACAGGCACAGTTCTAGAAGCTGGGGGTATAGCAGTGGTCAAAACAGATGAGCCTCTGTCCTCATGGAATTGCAGTCTAGAAGGAGGAAGCATGACTTCAAGCAAATAAACAAGTAGATAATTATAACTCATCCCAGAGATCTGACAAAAACAAAGTTCTGGGGAGTGGGGGACCTGATGTTGTGTGGGAGGCTGGCAGTGGAGGGACTTCAGGGGTGACCAGAGAGGAGACATTTAAACTAATTGTTGAACGATAAGAAAGAGCCAGCTCAATGGAGGTATAGGGAAGAGAATTTTAGGCTGTAGGAATAGTAAGTGCAAAGGCCCTGGGGTGGGAAAAGACTTGGCATGTTCAGTGTTCAATGGAGTCCAATGTGGTAATGTGGAGGATAAGATGGGAAATAGGAAGAGAAAAGGCCCAAGAGGAAGTCAGGGCCATCTGACATCTGCTACCAACCCATTTACCTGTTGACTCACCATTTGATTATCACGAATCTCCTCTTGGGCCAGCACTGCCATTTCAAAGAAAGGCATAAAGTCCTTTGACTTGACCAGCCTCTGTAAAGAGAGTTTGCTCCAGCACCTTCCTAGATTACCTGATCAGACATCCAGAGCTTAAATACCTTATTACTTAGGTCAACCAGATGGCTCAAGTCTGGCAGTGCAGGGGGAAATTTATTTTCTATTTTGACTTATTTCGTATAAGTAATTCCCTTGTTCTATGTGGTTTACGCTTAACAATTCTTGGTCACAACCTGCTCAGAATAACTGAATATTCAACATCTCCTTATTTCACTTGGAATAGACTGGATTCAAACCCCATCTCATCACTCATTAGCTGTGTGACTTCGTAGACAATTTATTTATCTCTCTGTGCCTCAGTTTCCACATAATGTGAAAAGAGGCAGATAATGGTACCTACTTCACTGCATTATTATAAGACTTAAATTAGATAATATATGTAAAGTGCTTAACACTAACAGCACATGGTAAACCTCAATACTGTTGGCATTTGTTCTTTGCTATTCCGGGGGAACCTTTTTTGTTTTCTAAACAGGGGAGCCCCTCCAGGGTTTTGGTTACTCAGAAGGAGTGTAAACTTTAACAGTGAGGCATCTTTAACTTGGGGATGGGGTAACGCACCGATGGTACTTGCCACTTGAAGGCTTATCTGCCTGTCGTGTGAACTGGCCGAGCTGCTCACAGATGCGTGTCTGTGGGGAATTCATCACAGGCCTCACAGAGGCCAAGTCTTCTAGGAAAAGTGTGCAACCTTCAGACTGTCTGGGGAAACTCGGCAGATGTGGCGTGGTCTGATGACATGGGCTTTTAGAGGCTCCTGATTCCAGCTATTCAAAATTATAGTGGGATATAGAATAATTGCTGTTGTTTTAAACCATTGTGTTTTGGGTTGGTAGGTAACTGAACAGGTAGTTAATGGGAGACTGTATTCAGAGACTATTGTGGGGGCTGTTGAATCTGTCTCCAAATCACAGGTCCTCAGGGATTACTTGACTGCCAGAGACAGAGACAGAGACAGACAGAAAGACAGAGAGACAGACAGACACAGAGAGAGGAGGATTTTGTTAATCAGACACTTCCCTTTCCTTTCGGTTCTGTGGGGGGCATTTCTATCCACTCTAGGTGACAGCTACTACCCTCCATTATTAGAGTTTGTTGCTGGGTCCTCATTGGGACTTGTAAGCAACTTGATGAAATAGAAAACTGGCAAGTGTGGCCCACTTGGCTCACGATCACATGCACGGTACACAACTAGGGACTTTTCAGCCTTTTTAATCAAGCATTCTTTCATCTTCCCAGACTTATGGGAAAATTGGACCACTGTTATTAACCTTTTTTGTATATTTGTGCAGATTAAAATATTAAGTGCACACAGCACGTTTTATCATCACTTGCTGTTTCCTTGAAGCAGTGACCAAATAATAAGGCTCGAGTATAAAAAACGTCCAAGGCACGGGACCCAGAGGGACAGGGTAAGTCACCTTCACTAGTCTCCCTCTCACGGGGAAGGAGAGGCAAAGAAAATAGCCTGGAATTGCCAAGAGTCTGCTTATTGCTCTGGTAACGCCTGGTGAGCCTGAAAATGTCTGAATTTATTGTAGATGGTGAGCATCTGGACCATCGCACTTTTCCTGTTGGGAGCAGCCAGAGGTGAGAAACAGCACAACCACCCCTTGTGAAGCACTTAAACCTGACATCTCAGCACTGGCCAGAGAGAGCCTTAGCCATGGCAGGGCTTCCAGCAGCTCCAGACAACTTTGGTTCCAGAAAGAGGCAGCAGGGCTGACACTCTGCCTGGGAGAGGGGGCAGTTTGAGGGGGATCCTTCTTCATAGCCTCTCCCTGCCATCCTGCCTTCATGCCAGGGTGCCCTAAGCCAGACTTTTCTAGATAAAGCATTAAACACCTGCCTGAGTTAACATATTGACTTAGAAGTGTCTGTTATCACATTAGTCAAATGAATTTATCTGAAGACTGCAGATGGGTCACAGAACTTTGAAGTTTTGATCCTGGTTCTGAGTGAGGCATTGTTGGTGTCTCTACATGACTCAGTGGAACTGTTTCCGAACCAGAAGGTGGGCAGAGATAGGTGTCTGCATGGTCTTCGGACAGTCCCCAGGCAAGGAGGTGACCTGGCCTGAGCAGCAGTGATGTCCCAGATCCCAGCTCAGGAACTAATCCTTAAGCAAATCATCCTTTCTCTGTAGGAAGTGAAATTTGCTATAGTCACATCGGGTGCTTTTCTGACTCTGAGCCCTGGGGTGGGACTGTAATCAGGCCCCTGAAAATTTTTCCCTGGAGTCCTGAGAAGATTGGCACCCACTTCCTGCTCGATACCAGTGAGAACCCAAACACCTTTCAGGTGAGACCTCTGTCATTTTAACATCATAATAGATGGATGAGGGGCTGTGCCCAACCCGCAGACCGGGAGTTTTTCTCTGTACCCATCTCCTCCATCATACTCTGCCAGACCCCATCCCTCCAGCTGCACCCCAGGCATAGCCAGGCCTGCACGGAGTAGGTCTGCAGTAAAAAGTTAGCTTGAATGAATGAATGGCTCACATTTGCTAGAACCTCTAGCTGGTTGTGCGATTCTGGTCTGGGGCAAAGAACTTAATGAAGAACCTTACGAAAAATAAGACCTTGAGCCGCAATGCAGACCCAGTGGAGACAGGGATTCCTGACTTGGGAGGTGGGGCAGGAAAAGAAAGGTCAGGGTGCGCTTCATGGAAGAGGCGGCTTTTGTGCTAAACTTTGGAAGTTTGCAGCATTGGCATAGGCAGAGATGAGGAAGAGAGACGAGCTTGAGCGGCTGGGTGGCAAAAACATGTAATCCTTCTGCATTTGTCACAGGTTCTCTTCTCTGATCCATCAACAATTGAGACATCAAATTTTCAAACAGACAGGAAGACCCGGTTCATCATCCATGGCTTCATAGACGAGGGAGATGAGAGCTGGCTGACAGACATGTACAAGACAGGTGCCAGCTCTGATCCCGGTGGCCTGCTCTGGTGGCTGCTGCCACCGCTTCCCACTAACGTCCCTGCCTCCCTGTAAGTGACTGTAGTAAATGAGCTCAAATGCAATTAAATGCCTCTCCACAAAAATAAAAATTCCCTCCCACATTTCTGGACTACCTCTGTAGCCTGAAGCAGTGACATTTGCTATGCGAACAAACACGTCCTCATTTCTGGTTAAATCAAGGTTCAGTGTTGTCTGATTCCATTTTCATTGTAGATACTTTGTATTCGGGTAAATAAGGAATTATGTTCTTTTTGTTCAAATCTTTCCTTCATCCCTGAGAGTCAGATGTGTTGCTATGACCGTTTATTTGAGAATAGACAACTAAGATTGACTGGGTGTCAAAACGGGCAGACTAGAAAGTGCCAAAACTATACATAATAGAGCATCTGTTGGTCCGAAGAACAGACAACAGATAAATACACACATATGCACGTGCATACACATACAAACACACATAGATACATGTGTACACATGTGCACAGGAACACACACAAATACAGAATACACCCTCAAACTTTTTTTATGTATACACGGACTCACTCTATTTTTTTGACACATGAGAATTTACCGCAGCCCACACATTAATAACTCTGACCTATAATGTCAACATAAAAAGTTACAAGCCCAGAAAATTGAAGTCATTCTGCATCTGGCCTTGGTTGACCAGGCATTTAACTCTTGGCCCCTCGCTATGCCACCATTAATGAGCACCGTAATGTATAAACTGTAGGGTATAGTTTGTACCCAAAATTCTCCAGGTTTATAAGAGATTCCTCAGGATGGCTTTAAAAATAAAAGTCCCAAGGCAACAACTCTCGGTATCTCTGTGTGTGATCACACAGAGTAGTGTATTTGTAAAAAGATTCTGAGTGGATTTTAAATTTATAGTATCATTTTAAACTCGAGCTGGTCATATATACTGCCTGGTGCATCTTCTAAGGATAAATCAATTTCTTCAACATCCAGGAAAACATTTTCCTGGATGACATTCAGATTCTTTAATCTCTTTTAAATCAGCGTAGTTCTATTTTTCAAATATCTGCAGTGTGTTTTCTCCATGAAACACTTTGCTTTCCTAACTGTAAAATAGTGATGCTTCCTTCTAATTTTAAAACTTAGTAAATACCTAGCAGGCTAAGGGTAAAGGCAAACCTAGTAATTGACAGTATTGCCAAGAGGCTGAAAGGACCCCTAGGAGTCAAATCCACGCGGTCATTCAGACACTGGCCACCAGAGGTTGCACTTGAGGCCTTTCCTTTTCGAAATGGGGCTCCTTTAATGATGCAATTGTTTCCTCCCACCTAAACAACCTTACTGAATTTGGCCAAAGAAAACCAGAGAGTGTTCAGCTTCTAATTAATCTACAAGCTAGAGAGGGAATGGATTTGCATTCACCCTGAGAGATGACTCCTAAGTGACAACAATCCAGTCTATCTCAGTGGCCCAGGTAAGACAGGACAGGGGAACAGCCCACAGTGACTACCAGCAACCATTTCAGAGCCCTGGCTGATATGGCTTCATGTTCCCCTGAAATAACATCTTGGCATCTTTCCAACACCAGAATACGTTCCAGGTAGAGGAGGCGAACCGCATCTGCATGGACCAGAAGACGAGCTCCCAAACCACCTGTACGCAGGCCACCAGCAACGTGCACATGGTGGGCTCCCAGGTGGCCCAGAGGCTCAGCGTGCTCTCGGTGAGTGGCCGGCCAGGCTGCTGAGAAGGCAGGCAGCACCCGCTGGTCTCCGTTGGGAAAAGATGCAGCTGAGATTATATATTTAAAGAAGAATTAGAAAGTATTGATATTTCTCCTAGGTCTTACTTCTAAAACCCTGAAAAACAGGTTGAGGAAAAACAGGAAGAGCTAACATTTAGGAGGCAGGAGCTTTTACTATCATTTTCAATTGACAGATAAGAAAACTGAGGCCCAGAAAGCTTAACTAGTTTGCCCAAAGGATCACAGAGCGAGTGAGTGCAAGACTTGTCTTGCCCCAACGCATCTAGCTCCAAGGGACTCCACTACACCACGTGGGATCTGTTTGGGGCAAAAGACAACATCTTCAGGGAGAACCGAATGAAGTCAAAGGTCACTAGGTGCAACTGGCATGGACCAGCATCACTGGCCTGTGGTTGTGGGTCCTGTTGATGTTGGGGATTCTCTACTGCCATATCGATTCTGCTGTTTCCTCCTGTCCTGGTCTTCGTTTTAGCAAATTCAAGTCTTTAATTCCTCAGTTAAGTCGCTCATTTTTCATGACTGTTTTCCAACCAGATTAAGGTCCCAGCTATTTCTGTCTTGTATTTCTGTCTCGTAACCAATTTGTTCTAACTACTTCTGCGCGCCTACAGAAGTCAAAACCCAGGCTGTTTGTACTAGAGGCGCTGTAGATCAATAGACGAGTGTATTTGGATGAATGTCCCTCTCTGAGACCGACATGTGCAAACACCTCATAGTTCTATGTCGTTTGTTTGTTCATCCAATATTTGGAGAGAACAGTGTCAGGAGCTGTGCTAAGAGGTAAAGAGGATGGATAAGGTCCCAGGCTTCGGAGGACTTTACAGTGAAAACTTGACAATGAAATGGAAGGGTGGGGGGTGGCGCATGTGGGGGCTGATCCAGATGGGGCAGGGCTGGGGCTGATGTGGGCTGTGTTGACGTGAGCTGGCACATGGTTGGGGGGATGGACAACAACAGGAAGGGAATTCCAAACTAGGCCCAAGGATAAGAGAATATGGCATATTTCAGGGCCTGAAAATTTCACAAAGGATTTGGCTAGAGAAGAGTTTAGAAAAATAGACTCTTTAGTCAGGAGAGCTCTGAGGCCCTGGTAACGAGTTTGGGCTTGATCCTGAGGTCAGTGGGAGCCACAGAAGGTCTCAGAAGAAGAGTAACAACATTAGGTTTGTACGTCACAAAAACCACAGCTCAGAAATGCCCTAAGAATACAATCTTCCCTCTCCAGACAAACTACAGCCACTCGCCTTCCCAAGTCCACCTCATCAGCCACAGCCTGGGAGCCCATGTGGCTGGAGAGGCAAAGAGCAGGACTCCAGGCCTGGGCAGGGTTACAGGTAAGGCCCAAGGGGTAGAGCTCCCAGTTTTGTCCCCAGTAACCCCACAACATGGTACGAGACTGCAGCCCTGCTCAGAGCTGGCCTGAAGGAGACTGTTTCCCTCGGCCACGGCAGAGCCGGTTACAGCCCGCACGGAACATTTCAGAAAGTCCCCAGGAAACCCATCCGTGTGGCAGGGGAGGTGGTGGCTTCATTCTCTGTCATTTCCCTTTGCTTCTCCCACCTCTGCCCCCATCCCTCCTCTCTAGATCCAAGTTTTCTGATGGTGTGGGTTGCTCGGCGGGACTGGGCACCCCAAAAAATGCAGGCTTGTATCAACCTGAGAAAATATAACTAAGAAGGATCCATATTGTCATTTCATTCCCGTCCCCCCTTCTCTCCGAAGTCAAAGGAGAGGAAACGTGAAATGTTTATGTTTACAGCTTCTGCTGCCTTTGCTGGCAGAAGAAACCCAGCCGCCATCACAGCCAAAAGCATTATTTTAACCCGAGCAAAGCCTTTCAGTTATAACAACAGCAACAAACTATATCAAGGTAATATAGTAATAATATAACGTTGATATAATTATTATAGTAAGCATAGATTAAGTGCCTATTTATCCCAAATACTGTGCAAAGTGCTTTATGTTTTTTCATTTAATCCTCACAACTGAAGAAACAGCCTCAAAGAAGTGAGTAGTTTGCACAGTCACACGACTACTCAGTAGTGGGACTGAGGTTTAAATTCAGTTTTGCTGTCATTCGGCTCAAGCGAGTCTCTACCTTTAAAGAACTCCCTTTTCTATCTTCTGTAACAAACAACTATGTTCATGACGTTTCGGGGGCTCTGACCAAACCTTCGGAAAACTATTGACAAATCCAGGAGCCCTGTCAAGAAGCAAATATAGTCAGGAGAAAATAATAATAATTAATACTTATGCATCCACAGGTGCCCGCCACTATGTTAAGGGCTACATATATTAACTCATTTAATCTCACAACAATCATATACAATAGATGCCATTACTACTCCCATTTTATAAATGGGGAAACTGAGGCACAATAAAGGTCAAGTAATTCGCCCAACTTCATGAGTAGTGATTTGGAGCCAAGCTGTCTAGTCCCAGAATCTTGTCCTTATCTACAATACCATACTGTCTTGCCCTTTTTTCCTTCAAACTTGGGAAGAAAAAAGAATATTAAAGAAGAAAGATAAACAAGTAAACGAAAAAACAAGTAAATGAAAAAAATCTGATGTGGAAAAAAAAATCCTTGCTCAAAAACAAACTATATGTCTTTGCTCATCTGCCCTTCTCTGTCCATGCCACTGGAGTCCTCTTGTAATATCCATCCTTAAGACCCAATGTCCTCCTATTCAATACCCAAGGCCATGGCAATGACCACCTCCAGGTGATGGCACCCTTTTAGTTGGGCAATGCACAGTCTGAGCAACTGTACACCTAGAGGTCTTGCTGGCACCTCTAGCTAGGTCCATTGTCTGTAGCACTGACCATCTATTTTAGGGTTGGATCCTGTAGAAGCAAGCTTCTAGGGTACTCCTGAAGAGGTTCAACTCGATCCCTCTGATGCTACCTTTGTGGATGTGATTCACACAGATACAGCTCCTCTGATCCCATCCTTGGGTGAGGCCCCATGGTGCACAGCTAAGAGCATGTGCAATTGTGTTTTACCTAGGAGAGCCTTGCATTATAAAATGCTCATTGCTGTTCCAAATATTTCTGGTTTTTGAATGGGCCAACTGGTGGGTCACCTTGACTTCTTCCCCAATGGAAGAGAGGAGATGCCAGGATGCAAGAAGAATGCCTTATGGACCTAGATGGCATCTGGACGGGTGAAGCCAGAGCAGAGTGGGGCATCACCTCCCTGGGGTGAGCAGCACTTTTCCCATAGCAAATCTTAAAAATAAAAACACCCTGCTCTTTAAAAATATAAGATTCCCCCTTCTAGACCTTACTTCTGAAAACTATAGCCATATATGATTTGTTATATCTAAGCTCTACTGATTTTGTACTTTCTTAAAACATTGTCGTGGGTGTCCTGGAGCTTACAAGCAACAAAGAATTATAAAACTATTGCTTAAAGATATAACTCCAATAATCACGGGCCGCTATGCCGACAATATTCGCCCTCAAGGCAAGTGAGGAGCAAAAGTTCTTCCTGACCACAGGAGACTCCAGCGATTTTGCCTATAAGCTGCTCTTTGACTTTCCCTCCCGGGTAAGAGCTCCATACACTGGAGCTACTATCCTGTTCAGTCAGGTCCGCAGAGTGGCTGAGCCAAGAGCGAGGCCATCTGTTAATCAATCCACTGTGTTTACAGAGGGCCCCATGTGCTTGTGGAGAAAGAGAGCATGAGCAGTCTGGTCACTGCCCCCAAGGAGCCCGGTCCTGCCAGACAGAGGACCCAGAGACCTTGTCCTAGGGCCCAGCCGCCTGTCGAAGCTACAAACCTAACGCTTCCTTCGTTGCTTCTGAATTGTAAATCAGCAAATACCTTTGCTTGACAACTCCAATCACCAGGTAAAGGACTTCTGACACTTATAAAGGATTCGTTTTTCTCCACAGGTCCAGCTTCTGTAGCGAAAATACAGTGAGAGAGACATTCTGCTCACTCTCACGCCCTATTCAACTCCAGGCACAATGAAGTCACTGCATGAACATCGATAAAGCCCTTTGATTCATCAATCTACTCACGAAGTCCGTCGCTGATGTCCGCTGCCCCCTGTGGGAACATTTGGGAATTGAACGTTTTAAAAAGCCCTAATGTCTTGAGCACATCGTGTATTTGTCCCAATTTCCTTGGTCCTCACACCCACTGTCTTTTCCCCACCTGAGGCAGTGGGTGGCAAAGAACAGCAGAACTCGAGTGTGGGTGTTTGAGGCCTCAGTTAGCCCCGCCTCTCACTTTGCAGGTGAGGGCACTGAGGCTCAGATTAAGGGAGTTAGTCTGCACTCAGACAAACCTCAAGCAGCTTCCGCCCAAGGGTTCTCTGCTCTTTTTAGGTTGGGGTCCCAGAAGAAGGCTGTGTGGGCCTGGAGCTGGGAGAGTCGGGGGGATGTGGTCCATCATGATGCCCTGGCCTCCTGCTAACTTGTCCCCATCTCACCCCAAGGTGCAGTCCAGGGCATGCCAACAGGGACACAAGATATGGAGTGACCCTTTCTGACATGTACTTTTCCCTCTCAGGGGACCAGTATCTGTGTATGGGCAGTAGACTGTGGTCATACCACATAATATAAAAGATGCATGGATTTGGGAGAGTTGTAGCCTCCCTCAGTCTAAATTGTATCTTATTAAATTTGTCCCTCAATACCTTATATCTCCCACCTATGCATTGCCGGGAACATAAAAGCAACTTCCCTGTGTCTAGTACAAGGGTCAGCAAACTTTTCCTATAAATGACCAGGTAGTAAATATTGTAGTATTTTGGGGCTATATGGTTTCAACTCAACTCTGTTGCAGCTTAAAAGCAGAGACAGACAATATGTAAACAAATGGGCATGGCTGTGTTCCAATAAAACTTTATTTATAAAAGCAGATGGATTTGGCCCTCAGTTTGCTAAACCCTGATCTAGAAAGTGATCTTTTTGCCCTGGCTGAGTCAATAACCATCTGTGAGACCTTAGACAAGTCATTTACTCCATTCCAGGCCTCAGTGGCCATATCAGTGTCCAGACCCAGTTCACAGTGAGGATTAGGACAAATGGGAGGAGTATGAAAGCTCTGACACAAACTAGATGCTTGACGGCTGGGAATTCCTGTCTCCGGAGTATGCAGCCCGTGCTTGTTAATAAGTTGGTTCCTCCCTCTTGTTTTTCTTCCCCAGAAAATGTTTAAAGTGGAACAAGTGAATT